AATCTGCATATCTATCTCCAGCTTGCCGACTGGTGGTATTGTGTCGGCAAACCTCTCCTGGTCTGATGTAAGTAGGAGTCCCTGGGTCTTGTTGTGAGTCAACAAAAATTGTTCCTACACATGGGACAATTGGTGTACTCCCTCGTCTCTGTTAATATTATTGTCTTTACTTCTCAACCATTTAGATCCTTATTCATCTACTGCCGACATCAGTTCCCCCTATAACTTGTAGTATTTCCAATCTGGGATGTGGTTGTGTGTGACCATACTGTATGTCCAGTGATTGCTGCTTTGTGCATGTCTCATTAAGACGAACCCATGTTGGCTCTAGTTCGTACCCCTTTATTTATGTTTTTCAACCTCATTTCATGTTCACCTAAGCGGTCAAACCTTTTACTATTGGTCGCAATGACCACATAATAACTCTAAGATGAGTGTTTGCTCATAGAATCTTGTTTTTAGGATGCACTAGTTCTCTCAACTTATTTTGATGTCTGAATCATGTATTAAAGTTGTGTGTGCTCATTCGATCTAATCTTTTCCCAAAGACCACTGACATACAGAATCATGACAAAGCCCCTTTTGGATTTCTCTTTGGTACTTCACATGTGTTGTCTTTCTGTCTTCATGGTCCAAAAAGGTATGATTCCACATGGAATATAACCATTAGACAGGTTAATTTGTTGATAGGTTGCAATTAAAACTTGGGTTTTGCAATTAATAATTGACATTACTTCGCAAAAATCTAAGCAGTTTGTGTTAGAAATTTGTCGGCCATTTCGAAATTCAAAATGGCCACCATTCTTGATCCATGTGTATATCACCATTCGACAGCTTGACATTGAAAACAGGGTTTGTCTACCTAAATCTTGTTGACCTGCTCTAATGGCACAGTTATGCTTTTTTATTACTGTGAAAATGGCAGCCATTTTGAAATTCAAGATGGCCGCCATTTATGATTCGTGGGAATATGACCATTAGACAGGTTGACATTGAAAACCTATGGTTTGCTACCAAAATCAAGTTGATACCTGCTCTAATAGCACAGTAATTGCTATTTTACTTTCAAACTGGCAGCCATTTTGAAATTCAAGATGGCTGCCATTTATGGTTTGTGAGAATATCACCATTGGACAGGTTGACATTGACAAAATAGGGTCTGGTACCAAAATCATGTCGATACCTACTCTAATAGCGCAGTTATGGTTATTTTTACTGTATAAATGGCGGCCATTTTGAAATTCCAAAATGGCCGCCAAGACAATTTCGGGAAAAATGGACCTTTGCATTTTTGGATTCAGCATACTCAAAATATCCGGAAAATGCAATAAAATTGCTTTGGGCAAGCCTATCTCGCAAACCTGTTTTTTGGACATTAGGTTTCTCACTAATAGGTAAATAAATGAAACCCAATAGCCTGCATATTATCGAAACGCACTCTGACGCATATACCCCAGTGAGGTCCTGTGTCAGTAAATATTCAGATTCATATTAGCATAGATTGAATGATATTATGCAATGATTGGATATTGTTTGAAATTGTTGTTTGTTTTGTTTTGAGTGTCCTCATAAAGTTTTAAAACCAAACGCTTCAATTCAAGTCTCGGCTTTTCTAAAAACTAAGCTATCCTGTGGAGTTTTCTATTGGGACATGAAGTTCTTCTTAAGTTATTAATAACTCCATAAATAATACAATGATCTACAGAAAGATATAGTAAACATTAGAATTTACAACTGAAAATGTGCATTGATAATAAACATTTCAATAATTTATTTTTCTAAAAAACTGATAACATTTATAAGCTCTGCATTTTGTTATTACATTGTTTTTGAATGAGGTAAATTATTAACAGACATTTGACAACTATGCATTTTTTAATTCATTAAGGCACCAAAAGGAATAGAAAATAAAGAACGCTCAAAGGCGAGATATTTAACAACTGTTGAATTTGGTATTAAAAGTGGCTGGCGGATGGGTGGCGAGAGTGCCAATCGAATCTATGGTGCGAGGGGCAGAACCAGTAGAAAAACAGTTGTGGCGTTTCCTTAACTCTCTTTAGAGACACGGATAATTAACCATTTTTAGTCTCTTATCTAAGATTTCACATTATGGGTTATTGTCTGGGGCCAGGTGGTGTGCGATATCAAACAAATTTATAATTCAAAATCAGAACAGTAACTGTAGGCCAATTTGATTTTTTTGTAGATCAATATGACATTTATTGAGCAAACAGAAAAGAACCAGACGTACGAAGATATAGAGCAGCATGACGATTTAAGCGAGAAGAACCAGATGTACGAAGATTTAAGGGAGAATGAAGATTTAAGGGAGAAGAACCAGACGTACGAGGAGTTAAGGGATAATGAAAATATAAATGGGAGTGATGAGAACTTTTATATAAATGTTAAGCAAAAAAAAGAAGAAATGTAAAGAACGAAAAGTCTCTTTGTCTCTATAAACAACAGATAAGGAATTCGAGAAATTCATTGAATTTCGAGTATAACAATACATTGAAATTGCGTTAAGTACCGTCATAAGACGTCATATTGAATTAATATGTTGGAGTTTGAAAAACATTATCTTTTCAAAAGTATTATATATTGAAATTACTAATAACACAGACAGTACAATGAAAGATCATGTAGATAAAACATTCAAATTCTCCATAAAGGTATGCTTTGAATCTAATAAAAG